GAACTACCGTAGCCCTCCGCCCGTCACTCGGAACTCTACCAGTCATTAGAGAGTCCTTAAAAATGAGGATTACCGGTCCTGTTATAACCGCGCTTAGTTCCTTAAGTATCTGTGCTCCGCTCGTCTCTCCTGCCGGCCGCCGACCTTCAGCCTTCAGTCCCGCCGGCCTCCGGTCCCTCCGCTCCGGTCCCGCTGCACTCTGGTCCCGCAGACTGGTCTCCCGCCGACTGCCGTCCCGCCGTCCTCCGTTTTCGTCGACCTCAGGGCTCCGATACCCCCCGGCTCAGATGACCCCCCCGGCACTGTCCTGTCGTTCTCAGGGCTCTGCTTCTCACGACTCCCGCTCCTGCACGCCGCGCGCGTGCTTGCACCTGCAGCAACTTCCGCAATCTCCGGACCTGGATGCCAATCTGGCAATGGCTATAAGTACCTTGGAGGAGTTCAGCTGGATTTTGAACATCCAGAAATCTGTCCTGGTGCCGTCTCTCCAGCTCGAGTACCTGGGCCTGATTCTGGACACTCGTTACGCTGGGGTGTTTCTACCCACAGAGAAACTTTGCAGGATCCGAGAACATGTTTGTCTATTGTGTTCGTGCAATCAGGCGTCAATGTGCAAGTGAAGGTGCTCGGTCTGATGGTCTCCTCATGCTCAGCAGGTCGGTTCCGCATGCACAGCATCACACTCGGACTCTGTAACGGGAGATCCTTGCTCAGTGGGACAGGTCTCCCTCGTCGTTGGACAAGCAGTTGCAGGTGAGTCGGTAGGTCAAGGCATCTCTGGTGTGGTGGCTTTGTCGGCTTGGAAGTACTTTCTCTTGGGGCACTGGATGGTGGGGACGATGGATGCCTGTCTTAAGGGCTGGAGTGGAGTGACCAGACAATGGTCGGCGCAGGGCCACTGAACCAGGGAGGAGTCCATGTTGCCAATCAATGTTCTGGAGCTTCGAGCAATTAGACTTTGTCCCTGGTGCTAGATGGATCTTCTGCATGGGCAACACATCAGGATTCAGTTGAACAATTCTGTGGCTTATGTGAATCATCAGGGGGGCCCGAGGAGTCGGGCCACTGCTCTGGTCTCACATCCTGCATGGGGCGAATAGTCATGTCCTGGCTCTGTCCGTGGTATACATACCAGGCATAGAAAATTGGCAGGCGGCTTATCTGAGTGGTCAGGGTCTGCATCAAGGGAAATGGGCCCTTCATCCAGAGGTGTTCTAACAAATCTGCCAAAGATGAGGGACTCCAGATTTGGATCTTCTGGCCTCTGTCTAAATAGAAAAAAGTAGAGTGTTTCCTGTTCAGGACTCTGGATCTTTGGATGCATGCAGTGGACGCTCTCCTGGCTCCGTGGGACAGGTATGGACTCATTTATGCATTCCCTCCTCTGAAGCTTCTACTAAGGCTGTTGAGGCAGGTGGAGGTTCAGGGGATCCTGGTTCATCTGGTAGCTTCAGATTGGTTCCATTGTCTATGGTATGCAGACCAGGTATGCCTGGTTGTGGACGTGCTGTGGCAGTTTCCTCTTCGACTGGATCTTTTGTCGCAGGTCCCCATTTGCCATCCTTCTTTACCATTGCTGGTTTGACAGTGTGAATATTGAAAGCAAGGTGTGGAAGGATAGGGGGCAGTCATATTTTGTGATCTCTACTATGCTTAGGCCTCATAAGTCTACATTGAGTAAAATATATAATCGTACCTGGAAGGCTTATATTTCGTGGTGCATATTTCTTCAGGTGTAACCACAAGCTTTTTAGGTGGCTAGGTTCCTGGCCTTCCTTCAAAGGTGTACTTAGTACGATTAAAGGTCAGTATTGGCAATCTTTCTTCAGTGCATTTTGGCCTTGCTGTCCCTGCTTTGTATCTTTATCCGGGGGGTGTTTTTTGTTTCCCCACCAGTTCGTGCTCCCTTGCCTCCGTGGGATTTGAACCTGGTGCTTACTGCCTTGCAAACACCTCCCTTTGAAAATATTAGAGAACTACCTTTATTGACCTTGTCCCAGAAGGTGGCCTTCTGCTACTGAATCATTAGGACACTTGATCTAAAGAGAACTGTCTAAGAGGGCACTCGGTTGGACAGATCTTCTCTTACTTCCTGCTGTGCGAAAGGAAATCTTGTCGACAGCTCATAATGAATCCCTACTCAATACAAAACTAAAAAACAGAATTTGGTTTTCCATACACTTTAAACTTAAACAGACACAGTTTTCTGGTTGCAACTTGCACATATGATCCTAAATATGCCTGTAACACATAACTGAAGAGAACTTTTTATGAGGGTTGTGTGAGAAGATTAGCATGATTTGACTTGCCATTTATGTTTTAATAGTAAGACTTTATGCCCAACGAATAAAATCCAAAATACTAACAACAACATACAAAGCCATTTGCAACTCTGTCCCCAGCTACATCACTAACCTCATCTCAAAATATCACCTTAAACTGTCCTCTCCGCTCCTCTCAAGACCTCCTGCTCTCCATCTGTCTCGTCATCTCCTCCCATGCTCGACTGCAGGATTTCTCCAGAGTGTCTCCCA